AATTTACAATCAAATTTGCTTAGTTTTGTGTGTTTATGAACATCCATATTTACATATAATGCAACAACGATTAGAAAGATCTAATTTACTATCAAATTTGCTTAGTTTTGTGTGTTTATGAACATCCATATTTACATATAATGCAACAATGATTAAAAAGATCTAATTTACTATCAAATTTGCTTAGTTTTGTGTGTTTATGGCTGAGTTTTTATATGTATACTGCAACCAATATATATCAAATAAAACGTAATCTATTTCTAACATTTAAAATATATATCATAAAATTTAGCGTACGTGTTCATTACCACAATGGGCCATCTGTGCTCTGTCCACTGTAAGAAACTGAATCCCAGATACATTTACAGCTGACCCACCAAAGAACTTCATAAAAATAACCACAATTTGTATCAATACAAATTGAACTATGAATAAAGCTCTTAGTGGCTGACCCTGACCCATCTGTTGTGGAATGGCCCAAAATATATATATATAAAAAAAAAATAATCATAATAATACATCTCAGAAATTTCTATTTATTGTAAGTAGGTTCCTTAACAGATGGTCTGCTTGGAAAACTTTTTGACTCGTGAATATTCATCATTTCCGAGGTTCTATTGGATCTTTTAAATTATGTTTTGTAGCTAAAAGGCTATAAACACGATATGCATATCAGTTGGTAGTTTTGTGGCATTTGACAAAAGTCTTGCGGACAGCATTCATGGTTCGTACGGGTCATGGAATTCTGGCTTGAAAGGTCATGGAAAGTCGTGGAATTTCACATGTAAGAAAGCGTATGAACCCTGGCATTGAAACTACCGTTTAGTAACATATAAAAAAAGAAAATCATTTTTAAACAAGCTCACACAATGAAAATAATGTACATGTTGTTTTTATTGTTCTAATCTACTATTTTTTTTTGCTTTTTTAATGTTTTAAATCACTGATATTTACTGTATTTAGTCTTATCTGTCACAGTAAGGTTCACATTTGTCACCTGGTATCCACAGTTAGTTATGAACATAATAGTTGTGTCAAATCAATCTAAGACTTACTTTAAACTTCTTCATGGACTGATACAATCTCCCCAAGTTCCCATAATGCTTTGCCGTTTGTACATTCATCTCTCCAAAGGCTTGCTGGGTGAGACGGAGAGCAGAAAGGTGTAATTCCCGAGCTTCCAAGAGGAGTCTATGTTCTATTGCCTTATCCTGATTATCAATGGCTATTTCTTCAAGTATTAAAGCTACAAAAACAAACTCATTGTCACCTATTCATAATAATAGCAGTTAATTAATTAGACTTCCAAAAGGGATTCCATTATAGCTATACTAATAAAATGCGAGTTTGTCAAGTTACAGTTTATAACTTTAGTTATTCTGTTGATAGAAGTTATGTAATCACCTCTGAAAAGCAGCTAAACACAAAATATTGTATGCTCATGAATAATAAGCACAAAAAAAAAACATATTACCTTTTACCCTCTTTGAAGAAGCCAAAAGAAGATGGTCATGTGGTAACAGGTACTGCATAATATCCATGGCTTTTTCAGCATGGTCCCTAACCAACGTAATATTAATGTATCAAAAAAAAAAAAACAACAACTTCACAAATTTCTTATCTTTAGAATCTACGAACAGAGTGGTACCATAATTAACAAATATGTGGTAGCATGTCTGTTATAGTGTCTTTCTAACTCTCCAGAAGGTAATGTTTCTATTAAATCATACTTTTAAATATGAAATGTGCAGAAACTAGAATAATTTCTTGTTGTTGTTGTTACGACGTAACAGAGTAGCATTAATACGATTATTTACACTGTATAGGTGAAAAAAAGTAGGATAAGCTTTGCAGTAAAATTGTGAAAAAAAAACATATTACGGAAAGCTTAATATTTCCTTTATAACCTAAAATACACTGCAGTACAGAAAGATATACATAGACATATATATAAATACACATTATACGATTATGAATTAATGCTCCAAAACG